CCTCAATGGGAGGTGAGAATGTGACCTGCCCCCCTGTCTCCGTGGGGGTTTGCCCAACACACGCCCCCCTCCCCCCCACCCCAAGCCGACACACAGATTTATACTCAGAGGAGGAGTTGGGTCCTGCTCTTTTTTGGGGACCTCGATGTGGACCTTTGGTGTCAAAATTTTTTTAATGCCATCTGTAAAGTATAAAAATCCCCCTATCATGAGCTGTGTGCTCCACGTCTCCCTATTTGCCTATTAACCCTTAAAGAACAGAATCAGCAGAAATCGGAAGGTCCATTCTGCCCACAATAAGGATGGTTGACCGCTCACAAGCCGCACCCACATTGAAGCAGGGAACCTCTCCGGGGGCAGCACCTGTCACCAGATGCGGGGGCGGGGGGGGGGCAGAATTGGAATTTGCTAAAATACCAGTGAACTTCTGCATCAACGTCTAAAATAGAGCCCCTGTATGGAATCGTCATTTTATTTTACCCTTCATGTGGCTCCTGGGCCTGGCACATCCAGATGCTCCATGCTCCATCTACCATACGTCACGGTAGATGCTCCATGAGACAGATTGATCTCCCTCCCACATGGGTGAGGGCTGAGGGCTAAGAACTGTTACAAGAATATGAAGCCCTAGATGCAGCCGTGTATCACCCAGTCGCTTCAAGAAGTTAGATATTTTGGAAAATCTTTTTATTGACTATCTCAGTGCATACAGAAAAAAACACACATGCCCTACGTGTCCAAATCAGTGAATTTCCACAAACCATGGAACCAGCCCCCCAGAGAAGTAACAAAATTGGGCACAGTCACACTTACTTCTAGTTTCTTTAGAATGATTTGTCGTGTTTGTGATTTAGTAACCTGTATGAGACGGGGGCTACTTAATGTGACAGCCCTAATTCTATAGCTTTCCATGGAAAATATTAACCAAAGTATTTTTCCAGATCCTTCTGCTCAGGTGGCAGGCTTATCCTGAAGCATCCCTAATGACCAAGTGTGGCCGGCAGCAAATCTCTGCAGCAGAGTGTGGAGGGGGTTGGCAGTTAATCACAAAGTGATATCACAAAATGAAATAGCATGTCATGTGTTTGCTTTCTGAGATACTGACTCTTCCTTCTTTGCCGTTATGGTTTCTAGATGTGGTCAGCGGGTGGAATAATCTCCAGAATCAAATCATACTCCTTCCCAAAGCCGGGCCACAGAAAGGTGCTAATGCGTCCCCCGCTTGCTGTCCCCCTGCCTATGTGGTAGGACTGACCCGCACGCGGTGCCCGCGCTCCGGCCCCGGCTGCCCTCCGTGCGCGCTCCCCGCCCCGTCCAGCCGCTGTGCTCTCGCGCCTGCCGTGTGTGGCCCCAGGTGGGCAGCCTGTGCCCAGTGCTCGCCGCGCTTTCCGTGTGGGTCCTGGTCCCTGCCACCCGGTCCGCCCCCGCCAGCGTACTCTCCCTGCTCAGTGTGCGCTTGAACGTCCCAGGGTCGGCGCGGGAGGTGGGAGCCTCGTGTCGGAGAACCTTCTCCGAGCAAGCCAAGTGATCTGTTGTCAAAATCACAAGTTGCAGAGCCAGGGGGTCGATTATATAAAGTACGTGCTGTTGGAAAGGGTGCCAGGGTTTTGTGGGGGCTGCACAGGGAGCGTCTCAGGCTGTTTATTGCGTGGATGCCAAGGGCCATGACACCTGCATCGAGGCTGTAGATTTCCAACACGGAACTTGACTATAACAAGTAAAAAGACAAGCATGGAATTGGAGGATTAGAAGCGCCCTGTTTCTTTACGAGGCAGTTCAGGTTGACCTGGGATTCGTTTCTGTATTTGGCTGTGTGATTGAATTGTGAGGGAAAAAGCGAAGTTTTTTTAATGATTTATAATGAATCATCTCCATATATATATATATATATATATATATATATATATGTATGTATACCTGTATATATATACGTGTATATATGTATATATGTATACACGTATATATATGTATATATATAATATGTATGGGTTACTATTTTTTCCTTTGTACTTTCTCCATTGGTGGTAGAAAGTGGATTCTTTTGTTAATAATTCTTTCCATTTTCTTACCAATTAGTATTTTTTTCCAACATTTCAATCATACAGTTTGGCATCAACTGATGAAGCAAGTTGCCGAAAGTACTTGCTAGGAACAACAGAAAGAAAAAGCATAAGATCCCCAAGATTTTATTTAGGAAGAATTTTCCAGGTGGGCAGTCATACTGTGGGTGCTCCCAGTCTTGTTGTTGATAGATCAGAGAAGAGAGTTGAATGTGATGGTCGAGGGGCAAGTTGTCTGACGAACGGAGCGGCTGTCTGTCTGAATGTCACGTGGCCAGGCAGTGTGGACCAGCTCGTGGAACCTCAGCTAGAATGTGGCAGTGCTTTGGGGGAACTGCAGTCAGGGCCGCCCGCGCCAGGGTGGGCGTGTTAGGAATCGGGGACCAGGTTGTCAAGGTGACGCATTCTCTGTGTCCGGTGCCCCTTTGTCCCACCCTTGGTGTTTGCTTGAAGCCACCAGGCCCAGTAGGTGATTGAGGCTGTAGACCAGAAGAGGTAAACATCTGCCATGCTCCAAGGTAAAACCCTCCGGCTGCCCCCTTCCGGCCCATGTGGCCCAGGACCCCTGTCGGCTTGCGCCCCTTCTCTTGGGAGAGGGCTCCGCGTGGCCGCCCGGATGGCATCTAACAGGCAGGAAGTAGCCTTCTGATTCAGGGTGCATTTTAATCAAGAATCATCTTTTCGAGGCTGTAATTATAAATTTAGTTCAAATTAGTGACTTCGGTACCACGGTCTGGCGGTCAAACACAAGATGCAAGAGTGTTTAATCGAATGTTGCATCGACAGTGCTTCGTAGAACAGCTCAGGGCAGGACACGTGGCCTCCACAGTGCCTGGAACCCCTTACTTCACTGGCTTCCGTGGCCCCTCCATGTTCAGGGCCTGCGTGGCAGCTGTGGAAGTAGCCCTGTGGACGTGGGTCACACCACCGGTTGCCACCACTTGTCTATTCATTATTCCCTTTATGATGTGCCGACACACAGCCCCCTATCCAGGTGCGGTCCCAGAGATGGGCGGTCACACTGTGCACGGACCACATGCCATGCGTGTCTTAGCTCTGTGGCTCTGAGTGCAGCATTCAGGGACCCTTCACGGGAGCATGACCACTTAGAGATTTGTGTGTAAAACAGATACACACAATCACGTATCTAGGTACATATATGCCACACATACACATTTATATACACACACATCTTAACATGCATGCACCCCCACACACATATACGGGTTTATCACAAGGACTTGCCTTACAGAATGATAGGGGCTGACTAAGCAAATCCCATACCTGTAGGGCAGACCGTCAGGAAGGGTAGATCAGGAGCAGGGTGGAACCCCTCGGGCATGGTTGAAGTTGTCGTCCACAGCCAGGGGTCAATACGCCCTCCACCTTTCTCTGTTTCTCTCTCAGGAAAGCTGCAGCTCTCCCCAGAGGACTCTCAACTGATTAAGCCAGGCCCACCCAGCGTAATCTCCCTAATTTAAATCAGCTAATTAGGGATTTTAGTTATATCTGCAGAATCCCTCCATGGCAGTAGCAAAATGACAATTTGATTCGATCATGGAGGACTAGAGCTCAGACTAACCACGTGGACACATCAAAAAGCCAGGAAACAGTAACCCAGCCTAGCGAGGAGACAAGACTCACTACCACCCCGTCGCTGTCCCAGGCAGGCTGAAGCAGGCTCACGTCACTTGCAGTAACTAAGGAAATACACAGAAAAGATGCAATAGATCTTTGTATTAAAGGAGAGCATGTCTCTTTCTTACACTATCAATATATCAGTAAAACTACCTAAAATATCAGTAAGACTACCTAAAAATAAAGAACTATCATCAAAGGAAATAACAAACTGGGAATAACTATTGGTCCTGATGCTACACATGCAAGGTTAAGATCTTTAATATATAAAGAAATTCTATTAAGTCTGTAAAAGTTTTAACTAACAGGCAAATGGCAGAGGATGTCATTAGGTAGTTTGTAGTAAAGCAGATACAAATAGGAGAAACGTAGGAAAACATAAAAATAGGAAGAGCTGCTCCATTCCATAATAAGAGAGATGCAAGTGAAAACTAGGTGCGCTGTTATGTCCACCTGTGAAGTGGACCCAAGTAAAAAGCAACAGGATGTGCAGCAAGGGTGTGGTGAGTAAGTCCTCCCACGCTTTGCTGGAGAAGTGTGAGATGATGCAGCCTCGGAAGAAGGCAAGTTCACAGCATCCATCCAAAGTAAACTTCTCAACTGCAATTTCGTTTCTAGGTATGTATTATTCTTGCATTTGTGTGTAACCATGTGTCCATGAAAAGTGTTTATTCCAGCACTGTGTAACTGACAAGGTCTGGAAACAAACTAAAAGTCTGTCATTGGGAAATAAACTAGTTACAATTAAAATTCATACCGTGAGAGGCAGCTGAGATCTAGAATTATTTCCAAATTCCAGTGTTAATTACAAACAACTGATATGTGCTGATAGAATGTCAAATATTCTGGAAGAAATACTGAAACACAGTGGTAACGGTAGTGACCGCGAGAGCACGAAATAGGGGTGTCAAGGAGACTTACACTCTACCGTAAACCCCCTTGTGCCTTTGTAAATTCTTACCTCTCGAATTTAATCAATTTTTAAAAAGAGAATTGAATATTAGAAAGTAGTGAATCTGATTGATACTGTGAAAATACTTTTCTGGAAAAAAAAGGCTGTTGCCTATTTAAATTTATAACAACTTTGAAATATTCATTGAATTTTCCTAGATGCCAAAAAAATTAATAAAGAAGGATTGTGTGATTTAAGTTATGGATTAAATGTATTTTAATTGCTCATCAGAAATATTTTAGGAGAGCTGGTGTTTATATCTTTGCAAATAGAGGAGGAATTTTCTATTAATTAAACAGTCATGAGAAAGCACTTACAGGGATTATGTCAGATATCTCCTCTGTTTAGATAAGGTGCAAATGACTTTCTTGAGTTTGTTAATTTGATCAGTATACGTAGTTGTTTTTAATAATTCAGGCCCAAAGAGGACATGTCAGAACTTGAATTAATTCTAGCGTGTGGGTAGTCACCGAAAAGTTATGTTTTGACTTGAAGAGGACTGTTAATTAGATATTAGAGATTTCCTAATAAAAACTTAAGGACAGGTCTATTTTAAATTTTTTCCTTAGAAACTGGGAATACTTTCGTCCTTAAAAATACAGGTGAAGTCAAGTAACCAATGTAAATAATGATCCACCCTCTTCCCTGCCCTCCATAATAAAAACTTAAGGAGCGGGTCTATTTTAAAGTTTTCCTTCGATGTTAGTCCTTAAAAATATAAATGAAATTAACTAACAGGTGTCTGTGGGATTCACCCTCTCCCCTCCCCACATCCTTAAATGAAGTCCCTCCCACTTCTAGAACGGGAGCATCTGTCTTGCTCCTTTAAGTACAGAAACCTTTGCTTCATGTGAGTAAGAGCGTCTTCATAGGAGCGTCCACCTCCTGTTTCAGAGGCATGCTCCCTAAAACGCGACACAGCATTCACCTGTAGCTCCGTGGTCGAAATGTGTTCCAGAATTTCAAATTCAGACCCATTTCTCCTGCTGTATTCCAACACCTGCACTGATGATTGGATTATTTGAAGGCTTGTATGTAAATACGCAGTTGGCTAGAGTTGAGCTGGAAGAGCAAAAGAAGGAGAAGAGTTGTGAAGTCACACCGTCAGGCAGTAACGGCGAGGCACGGGGACAGACCCTGGAGAAAACGTGTTGCCGTGTCATTGTCAGGGGCCACGCTGCCGCCCTCTGCTCCTTAGGTCAGGACGATTGATGTTGGACGTCAGCTGTTGGTTTGCATGGACCGGAAGCAGACGTGGTCTCATTCCGTGCCCTGGCCGGGGAGGGTCTGCCCTGGGCTGTGGGGTCTTGTTCCCCCTTGGGACCACAGCCGCTCTTGCAGACCGGAGCCGTGCCCAAAATGGCAGCCCGCGTTCTGAAGCCTGCAGGCTCTCTCTGTCACTGCGGCTGTGACACCTATGTGGTCCTCTTTACTGCTGCTCTGCCTGATTGGGAAAGGTCTGTCCAAAAGCCTAAAAGCAAAGGTCTAGAAATGGATGTTAGGACACAGCATGATGCTCCCAGATCACCAGGAGAACAGTACATGTGTACCTCGTTCACTTCTGCATCCCCACTTAATAAGCACCCAACGGAGAGCTGTCGAACACATTTCAGTTTGCAGTTAAGGCTGGCCAGTAAGAGATCAGGGATCATAATTTAAGACCTAATTTGGTCTTATCTTTAATTACTGTGGAGTGACCTGTTTTTACCTCAATTTACAAAACTTAACAATCACCCCTTGTTCTTTGGGAGGGAGAGCGCGAAGGTCGCTAGTGCCATCTAGTGGTGGCCCACAGGTTTGAAAAGCCGCAAAAATGGGAGGAAAAAATGCACCTGCTCGCATTCCATTGACACCTTATGCTCTGTGCGGAAAAGGTGATGGTATTGATTGGGGTAGAATAAATCATCAAATATAAAGCAGAAAGAATAATGACAGGTGACAGAATAGGCCAGTGATGTGTTTTTCATTAAATTTTAACGCTAATCAGTACATTTATAATTTAGCATCATTCTTTACAAAGTCTTCGAATTCTTTCCAGCTGAGCATTCGATCCCAGAGGGTGTTTGGTGTCGTTCTACTCAGTGGCACATCCACCAAACACTTTAGGAAAGATGGAATTGTGTTTTGTACCTTTACCTTCATCATGACATCACCACCACCCTGTTAACTGACGCACCAGAAAATCTCCCATTTCTCCCGAAGAACATTCTCCCGAGTGTTGTGCCAGCTTCTCTCCCAGTGGGGTAACCCAGGGGCCTGGGTAGGGAGCGGATGTGGTTACTGAGGGACTCGCGGGGCCCCGGCTAGGCTGGGAAGGCTCTTAAGGGCATGGGGTCTGTGTGACCTTCAGAGGGAGACCCCAGCCCGTTTCCTAATGCGTCGCCAAGGCCGACGGGGGGTGAGCACCACACTGCCCGTCAGAGTCTGCTCTGCTCTTTCCAGGGCTTTAGGCTCAGTGTGTCCAGCACCACCAGCGCTCACTCACTCTTGTCACTCATTTGTACACTCCCACCTCTGCTTTAGAAGTCTTCCCCACAGGCTTCCGATGGCAGGTCATTGCATTCTGGCTTGATCTGTGAAGGCCTGGGGCTCGGGAGAGCATTCGCTCAGGCCGGAGCAGTAGTGGCCCCGGGATAGCCGGTCCTCGGTGGGCAGAGGGCAGGTTTCAGGGCCAGGAGCAGGGGTCCTGGTGTCTCTCCTTGTCTGTGACAGGCGGTCCTGGCGTCTTGAAGTCAGTCGTGTCTTTGGATCTCAGAGTTTCCTGCCTACAGGGAAAATCAGAGATGTTGAAATGATTGTATATATGAACCTAAAAGAGGCTTTTTTTTTTTTAATTGAATACTATTTCCACCTTGGAGTTTGATTGCAGCTGAGCAGAGGGTTGATGGGAGGCCTTGGGGATTCCCAGTCTCTCCGAGGATAGTTCTATCGAGACAGGGCAATTATCTTCTAAATGAGAAGTGGACTCCCAGGACATCCAACCGCCCTGTAATCACAGGCCAGTTTTTAAAAGAGGTGGTGGATCGTCATTTGGGATTATCCACGCCTATTTCCCTCCGTTAGGGTATTTCATTTCTAAACCACACTGACTTACACTTCCCATCTCCCAGTTTTAAGACACTGTTCCCATTCATTCATTCATTCATTCACTCGTTGGTGTGTGTTTGGTACATTTTTTTTTTTTTTTTGGAGCTCCAGTGGCGGCGGACAAGGCAACGTTCAGACGCAGTGAGGGGCCTTACGCTGTTTTTACTCGTGATACGTCCCAGCCCCTCCTGTGGAGTGTGGTAGGAACGCGATGGGAACGCCGAGAGAGGCGGAGAACGTGGAGCGAGCACCCTCCGCTGACACGGGAGAGCCGGCGTCCCGTAGCCTGGTCCCTTGGGCCTTTGTGCTGTGGGCAGCAGCTTGGTGGTGCTTGGCAGATGCCGTGAAGAAGGAGGTCCAGGTTTTGGAGACAGGTTGTGGCCGTGGTGCCTTGTGACTCCACTATTGTCCTTCTGGCTCCCGGGCCTGGGACGTCAGGCAGGCAGAGGAGGACCCCGTGTGTGCTGCGAGATACGTCACCGTGCACAGTGAAGCTTGATGTCTCTGTGTCTTTACATTTCTCCAAACCCTGGCAGTATCTCATGTCTTCGTGGCCAGTGTTTGGGCCCTGCTAAGGTAAACGGCTAGATGACCCTCCTAGTCAACTACACCAAAAAACAAACAAACAAAAAGATTTGAATAGTGATTTTTTTTTTCCCCCACAAACCAAATGTACTAGCAATACCCTTGTGTTAAAAGGAGGGGGCAAAGGCGGGCCAGGAAGACTCAAGATAGAGATTTTCAAAAGGGGAAGGTTATAGGGATGTAAGGAGGAGATCCTTCCCCCACCCCGTTAATTCATCATGCAAATTAATGTAAATCAGATCTAGCACCAGGAAGGTTGCTGCCCTCCGGCATCCTATCCCGTAGCTACATCTCCGTGGAAGGTCAAGTTCAGGCAGAAACCAGGACTGCATAGACCCTGTGGAGTCAGGGAGTAGGGGAAGTGGCTGGTGGATACTGTGTTTCTTCTTACATAACTTTATATGACATTAAATTGAACAGAAAGGATTGATGGAGGAAAATGAATCCCAGGGGGCCGTGTGTAGGCAGAAATGGGGTTTGGAAGGGCCTCTGACTGGGTCCCCTCTGAGACCGTGCAGCCCCTTGAGACAGAGCTCCATGTAGCCCCCACGGGGTCCAAGCAGTGACCCGAAGAATGACGTAAGCCATGGTGTTTGTTTCTGTCTCTCTCCCTGACGCTTTCCTTTGTCTTCTCCGCATAAGTCGTAATGTGATTATTTGAAAACAAAAGTCATTGTGCAGATCAGCTCCACGGTGCGGCCGTGGAGGAAAGTAACCTGCTGTCCTCTGTGTTTCAGTCCTCCACATCCACAGGGAGCCGGCCTGAGAACTCCGTGACCTTCAATCCTTACGAGCCAGACCGGGGGCCCTGGCCCACGGACAGAGGTGAGCCATGCGCGGTCACATCCCCGGCCGTTCGCGGCACAGCAGTGCCCGTAGCCCTCGGCCAGACTTGCTGTCGGCAGCGGGGCCTCGGCCGGACCTCCTTGGGTTCTCGGCGTGACTCCAGGTTCTACTTGTATTGGTGCACTCGGTCTGTTTATTGCTACAAAAACGGCCCCCGAATGTAGTAGCTTAGTGCAGCAGTCATTCAGTTGCGTCCTGCAGGTCAGGGGCCTGGGCCAGGCTGGGCCGTGGGGAGGCCGTGGGGAGGTCGGGGCACAGGGCTGGCCTTATCTCAGTCTTCACGCTGATGGGGCCCCTCCCTCGGTGTCCCCTCGAGGGCTGGCTTATACTTTCTCCCAGCATGGACAGGACCCAGGCACCTGGTGTCTGAAGCTCAAGAACCAGTCTTCCAGCCAACAGGGAAGGGAGGGTGCCTGGTCATTTATAACCTCACCTGACTCGCCAACGTCATTTCCAGTATAGTCCATTGGTTGACACAGTGACAAAAGCCACTGGGGGCGGATAGTGACATAGACTTCACCCCTCGATAGAAGGAGGGTCAGAGTTTTCAGACAGTGTAAAGCCATCCATTAGGGAGGCTTCTGGCACGAAAGACCCTTTTTCTGTGCACGTCCGTGCAAGAACGGGGTCGAGTCCCATGGGGGTGAGGGGCTTTTTGCTGCCGCCCCCTAACAAACCAGGAGAGACTGTGCCCTGAGTGCTCACCAGCATCGCAACTGTCAGAGGTGATCAAGGTCTGGAAAGGCGAGGTGTGCCGATAGGAGGCAGGAGCGGGAGATATGGGGATTTTCAGCAGGGACCCAGCACCCGGGTCGGGTGTCTCTTGACCGCCTTGCAGATGCCCAGAGAGAAGCCATGCCCATGGACACCGAAGTGTACGAAAGCCCCTACGCTGACCCGGAGGAGATCAGGCCCAAGGAGGTCTACCTAGACCGCAAGCTGCTGACCCTGGAGGACAATGAGCTGGGCTCTGGCAACTTCGGGACCGTGAAGAAGGGCTACTACCAGATGAAAAAGTAAGTCGTGGCCACACCGCTGCACGGCGCGTTCTCCCGTGAGCTGACGTTCTAGAAACCGCCACACTCCACGCTTCCTGTGCATTTAGTCCCAAACACGAACTCTAACCCAGCAGGGCTGAATCCTTCTTTGTTAACGGTGTATGGTTGTCCGTTTCTGGTACAGCTACAATGTAAGCATTCATTGTGTATACTAGCTTTGTATACACCAAGTACGTATATTAGTTTGCACGTAGGAAGCGTGCCTTTCAGAGCATTCGAAAGTAGAAACAAGCAAAACGTAATAAAATGAGAACATCCTGTTTGTACCACCCAGATAGCCCTACTCTTAACTAACAGTAGTGTCTATATATTATTTGGGTCTTTTAATGCACACACATACACACATGTATTTTTTAATTAAAATGCAATTACTCAGTGACAGAAACACAGCATTTTCAGGTATTTTGTTTTATTTTTTAAATCATGTCACATTTCTCTTACCCAGAAAATTCCTGATTATGGACATCATTAGTGTAATTGTTTATCTGCTTTTTCCTATAATTTCAGATCACAACACATACCATACAATAGTTAGAATTGCTGTGTCACTGAAATCTCTGCACCTCATTTGCTCTTTAGAAGGTGTCCTGCATGGAATGTTCAGTAAATGTGCCAGACTGTAGAGTGCTTTGAAACAGACCCTATCTCTGAGTGTGTATGTTTGAATTAATACGTTACTGATACGAATATAGTTGGGTTTAGTTGTTTGATAGTATTTTGAATTATGACATTTTATAGATGTTTTATCTTGAGTAGGTAAATTTACATTACCCAAGTGTCAAGAACGTAGGCAAAGCATTCACGGAAACTCTTGCTTTCAAATCCTGTTTTTCTGGGTGCATGTAATTGATAGGCTCGTTCAAAAATCTGTGCATGCATATCACAGTCATTTGTGGAATGAATATAAATTACTCTGTATTAAGGTGTAAATTTCCTCAACTAGTTCGTGACACTTAAATTCCTTGCTTAATTAAATACATATTTTAACACAGACAATAACTATGGATATGTAATTTCAACTAGAGGGTTTGGGGAGAGGAGAGGAGATGTTTTTAATCATGGATGTGTATTACAGCTTATTGAGTACTGGTTTTTTCTGCTGAGATGACCTTATGGTTTTTCTCCTTTGTTGTGTTTATGTGGTGAAGGACACTGATTTTCAGATGTTAAAGCCACCTCGCCTTCCTGGAATAAACCCATCTTTGTTCTTGAATTAGATATTCATTTTTTTCATAAATCACTGAATTGAATTTACTAATATTTCTGTTAGAATATTTGCATTTAGGTTCATGAGAGAGATCAGTAAATGATTTTCTTGGAAGTTTCTTTTTCCGGTTTTGGCATCAAGGTATAATGCTGGCCTCAAAGTGAATTGGAAGGTTTCCTTCCTCTTCTCTTTTCTGCAAGAGATTGTGGGTGTTTTTTCTTCCTTTACTACTGGGAAGGATCGAGAGGTTTCTCTTGTTCATTTTGACCCCTACCTCACGCCATACACAGAGCCAGTTTCAGGTGGATGGTAGTCAGAAATGTGGAAAGGTAACATGATGCACTGACTAGAGAGAGCATAGAGAAGTAGCTCCATGATTGTAGGAGGGGGAGGGAGGCACCTGGGGGTGCTTGTGTAGGAGCTACAGCTTGCGTTCAGTGTGGAAACACTTGTTAAACTCTACACTGAAGTGGTCTGGGTTTTTGTGAATGTATGTTAGACTTACCCCATTGTTCTCTTATTTTACCATCTTTTTGGACAGTTCTGTTTTTACTCTCCCATTTCGGAGTTCAACAAAGGAGATGTTCTTCCTGCACACATGCAGGAAGAGAAATGCACTTTTTTCAAATCATACAGAGTTAACTTCCATTCATTTATGTAAGTCCCACTATATCAGAATATTTTCAGGAGGTCCCACATGACCTGTGAGATGTTTTTATAAGAAAGTGAAAAACAATTTTTTGCAAAGTTGTTGAAGCTTGCTTAAAATTGTCAATGCTCATTTTAAAAAGTGTTTTGTAAACTATGAGCTTTAACAATGTATGCTTTTTAATTCTGCACCCGGAGGTTCACTTTTAACATATATCAAAGGAATGTTATAGTCACACACATGACAGATAATCTGAGATGGCAAATCTGAAGATATTGCAGGAATCCATGCATGTTGCAATTTGTGAGGTTTATTTGAAAATTATTTACATATCCCGTAATATTTAGGCTCTGCTTGGTTGGATATTTTTCAGCACCTCGTCATTATCTGTAACTAATACAGGGTTACTGTTTGTCTATAAAATGAGAGAACAAGGTTGTAACTACCTCCATAACACCATTTCTAGCATAGCAATTATGTTTTATGGAAGGTAATTCCCTAGAATTAGGGAACTTAGAACTTAGCCACTTTGAAAAGTTTCTTATGTATTATGATTTCTTATGTAGAGTTGTGAAGACAGTGGCTGTGAAGATTCTGAAGAACGAGGCTAATGACCCGGCTCTTAAAGATGAGTTATTAGCAGAAGCGAACGTCATGCAGCAGCTCGATAACCCTTACATCGTGCGCATGATCGGGATATGTGAAGCCGAGTCCTGGATGCTGGTTATGGAAATGGCAGAACTGGGTCCACTCAATAAATATTTACAGCAGAACAGGTATGTTTCGGTCCCCCAGGAGCTGATGCTGTGGTGGGGCAGGGCCCGCCTGCCCGGTGTATGTCATAGCCCGATTGCTATGTTGGCCCACACTCAGGGACCTTGAGGGAAGAGGGAAGAGAGTTGTAGTCTTTGGATCAAAAGCTCTTTTAGCTCTTATTGTGCTCAGAAAAACTCCAATCCAACAATTTGGTCTTCATTCTCCTTTGCTCTCTCTATATTGCTCGGCCTCAGAATATCCTGGCAATCAGTCTCTCCTCACTAGGCAGAACATGCCATACCTAGGGAGAGAAATATTAAAATAAACATTTTAAAAGGGAGTAACAGTGATTGATGTCTTATGTGTCTGGCTGACCTCTACGTTCCCACGAGTAATTCTGAAAATAACTGTTGCTGTTAATGGATTACAAGCATTGGTGGGGGATTCATGGCTCATTTACGGCCATTGTTGAGATGGAGTAAGTCACATGGGATAAGTCTTAATAATAGCCACTGATCACTTGGTCCCATTTGATACATTACGTGTGTACTCTACTTAGATTGTGTCTCTAATCAGCGTAGGAAGGAGGAGGTAAGCCCCACTTCACAGGTAAGAAACTGAGACTCAGAGGTGGTTTTGTTACCTGTCCAACATTGGAACAAGGATTCCAACCAAAGCCTGGCTGTCCATGAGTCAGGTCTGTCCACCCCAATTATACTGCAGTTCAATTCAATTCATGCAATTCAAAGCACACCTTGAAAATTGTACCAGTTGAATACCAGGATAACGGTGCTCAGTTCTGAGCAGCTGTAAGCTAACAAGGTTGTTTGTCACCACTTATTACTCTTAAGAAAAATAGGAAATGAGAGGATCCCTCCGCATGCATGAAGAGCATGGTTGCTTGGTCCCAGATGGACTGCTGTCCACCATCACTAAAGACACATCTATAACTTTCAGGCACGTTAAGGATAAGAACATCATAGAGCTGGTTCATCAGGTTTCTATGGGAATGAAATATCTGGAGGAGTGCAATTTTGTGCACAGAGATCTGGCTGCAAGAAATGTATTGCTGGTCACTCAACATTATGCCAAGATTAGTGATTTCGGACTTTCCAAAGCACTTCGTGCTGACGAAAACTACTATAAGGTATGAAAAATTTCTCCAGTATGCAAAGCAGGTGGTGAGAATCTGAAATGCAAGTGTTTGTGTTCTTTATTTGATTATGATAGGGTTTCAAGAAGCAATTTACCTATTGAATTTGCCTATGTAAAAAATGTTCTTGTTAAGCTTTGATTATGTTGTTTTATAAAATGAAAATACTCTAATATATCACAACTTGAGTTTACTCTGAATAGTATCTTCCAAACTATATTCCTGGGAACAAAAAGGAATCAAGGTATTAATTGATAATTCATTAAAACACACACACACACACACACACACACACACACACAAGAATAGAATTCCTTCCTTAAATTACTTTGGAAAAATGTGTTGAACAGGTTGATCCTTACAGGATTTCTCAGAGCCCCCCCTCAACCCCCAAAATGAACTGATAGCAACGAAAGGAAGGGAAAAACATAAGAAAGCCTCATATGAACTCGGTCACAGTGTGTATGTTGAGTCTAGGTTAATCAACTAGAAAATGTAATGGGAATGGAACTCAGATAGTGAAAGAGGGGGCCAAGAACAGATTTCCAACTCTCCAGGTCCCTGGGAGAGTCCAGCATTCTCAGAAATAGACGGCCCACCCTGAAGCTCTCACTTGAGGATGGCAGGATGGGGGCCGTGGGATTGCCCTGGGCTCCACACCCTGGAGTGCGGGGTCCCCCACTCGCCCACCCACTCACTTCTCTCTGGGACGGCCACCGTGCGTGTGGCAGATGGGGACAGTGGGTCTTGGTCAGCTAGGGACTGGCATAAGGATGAGCAGCAAGATGCCCGAGTGGCTCTTTTGGTTGAGCGACTGCCTTCGGCTCGGGTCATGATCCTGGAGTCTCGGGATCGAGTTCCACATCGGGCTCCCTGTTCAGCGGGGAGTCTGCTTCTCCCTCTGACCCTCCCCCCTCTCATGTGCTCTCTCTCTCTCTCTCATTCTCTCTCTCAAATAAATAAATAAATCTTTTTAAAAAAAAAAAAAAAAAGGATGAGCAGCAAGAGCAGAGCTGTCCAGCAGTACTCCATCCTCCAGAGAGAAGCTGGCTCCAGAGCAGAGCCCCTTCAGAGATGAGCCACCATTAGAAAAGCACTGAGTGAGCCCTTTACAGACACCGCTAGAGGGACAGCTCCAAGCACACGCCAGAGAAGAGCAGGTGTTCCGTCCGGAGGCACTTTGGGACACACGCTTCATCGTGATAATTAGAGAGGAAAATCTAGACTGAATAGCTACACAGAAAGAGATGGGAGAACAGCGCCATTTTATCTGCCTGAGCCCATCCATGAAAATGGAAACAAAAAATAGCAGGAGTAGCTATATTTATAGCAAACAAAATAGACTTGAAGTCAAAATCTGTAACAAGAAACAAAGAACGTCGTCATATAATAATGATGGCATCAATTCATTAAGAAGTTATAACAGTTCTAAATATATATACACCCGATGTTGGGGAACTTTCTGAATATAACCTGAATAAACAAATACTAACATATCTGAAGGGAGAAATAGACAACTATACATTAGTAGTAAGGATTTTCAGTACCCCACTTTTATCTATGGATAGGTCATTCAGACAGAAAATCAATAAGGAAACACTGGACTTGAACTATACTTTAGGCCAAATGGATCTTAACAGAATTCACAGGTGAATTCTGCCAAGCATTTAAAAGAGACTTAATGCCAGTCCTTCTCAGACTCTTCCAAAAAATGGAAGAAGAGGAAACATGCTCAAACTCATTTTCCAAAGCCAGCATTACCCTGATCCCAAGGCCAGATAAGGACAGTACCACAAAAGAAAACTATAGGCCAAAATCCCTGCTGAACATACATGCAAAAATTCACAATAAAATACTGGCAAACTGACTTCAGCAACACATTAAAAGAATCATACACCACAATCAAGTGGGATTTATCCTGGGATGCAAGGATGGTTCAACATCTGCAAAACAATAAATGTGGTACACTGCATTAATAGAATGAAAGATAAAAATCATATGGTCATCTCAATAGATGCAGGAAAAGCATTTGACAGATTCCAGTATCCTTTAATGATGAATACTTTCAACAAAGTGGGTATAGAAGGAACACGCCTCAACACAATAAAGGCATATATGACAAGCCCACTGCTCACATCAGACTCAATGGAGAAAGATTGAAAGCTCTTCCTCTAAGATCAGGAACAAGGGAAGGATTCCACTCATACCACTCCTACAGTATGGAGGTTCCTCAAACAGTTAAAAATAGAGCTACCCTATGACCCAGCAAATTATACTACTAGGTATTATCCAAAGGATGCAACCATAGTGATTCAAAGGGGCACATGCACCCCAATATTTATAGCAGTAATGTCCACAACACGTGGTTAAGGAGAAGAATCAAAAAGTAAAGTGCAAAACATATGTCCCTAACTTTTCTACCTCCCAAAGGTATATGTTACCTACCTGTACTTGGATATAGATTTTTTTCTGGAAAGATTCAGGAAAAATGATCAAACGCGCCCATCTCTATGGCTGAAGATTTGAAGTTGGTGGAGAGAGACTTCACTTTTTGACATATTTAGGACTCATCAAAGGGTCATCTTTATATCACCTCAAAATTTAAGCTAAAATTGAAATAACACATATGACTATATTGTTCACAACTTTGGAAACCAGAATCTAAAAATAATGTGTTACATGATTGAGACAAAAGGGTAATCAGAGTGTCATTTAGAGACACCCATGGTGCCTATGGTCTCAGAGCGATGTCCTGGGCTGGGGCCCTGCTGACCCACCGTGGGGCAGCCCACCTCCCTCCCTCCCCCCAAGCGTGCTTGTTAGCGTGACCTCCCCAGGAGGCAGCAGGACTGACTTACGCACCGAACTCTAAGCCCCAGAGGAAAGGGTTTCTGCTGGGCACAATTTTGATCTCTTTACTACCCCTTGCTTTTTTAACCAACTGAGCCACCCAGGCGCCCTCCCCTTGCTTTTTTAAATTAAAAAGTTGAAAACATTTTTGGAGCACTTGGCTATCTCCATCGGTGGAGCGTGGGACGCTTGATCTCAGGGTTGTGAGTTCAAACCTCACGTTGGGTGTAGAGATCACTTAAAAATAAAATCTTAAAAAAGAGAAAAGTTTAAAACATTTTTAAAGCCATACTAGCAGTCTGTGACAAAATAACGTTGGCTGAAAACCATAGACAAGTACCCAGTAATAGTTAACTATTCTTGGGAATAGCCCAGTATTTCTTGGAGCACAACCATGAAGCTAAAATTCAGGCTGGGCTCTTGTGTTGGCACAAGCTCCATGAAGCTGTGAGTAGCCAAAGGAAGAGGCAAGAGAAAAAGATAAAAAGGCACAAGAAATACAGCCTGAATCTTAAAAAATATAATGAAATCTTAAAATTTTAATTTTTTTAAGATTTAAATATCTATTTTTAAGATTCGGACCAAATACGTACATGCACACACGCACAGGGCATTTCATGAGTCATTTTTTTTTAATTTTTTTATTTCATGAGTCATTTTATTCCTTTTTTTTTTATTTTGGTTAACACACATCAATTTTATCTGTTGACATAAATTTTACCATCTGAACCATTTTTAAGTGTGCACATCAGTCATGTTAAGAACGTCCCCTGTGCTTACAGCCACTCTCCAGAATTCTCTGAAACCCTGTCCTCATTAGACAGCGACTCCCCCTGTCCTGCTCAAGCCCCCCATTCCCTGGCAATTGTCCCTGTGACCTGGACCCTCTAGGGGCCTTGGGTGAGTGCTTTCATGCAATATTAGTACTGCAGGGACTTGGCCGGCTGACTGCACCGAGCCTGATGTCTTCAGGCTCCATCCATGCTGTTATGTGCGTCAGAAGTCCCTTCCCACTGGAGGCCCGGTGATACTCCATCGCGTGGATATGGACCTGCTGTTTATCCAGTCCTCCGGCGGGGGACACGTGGGGACCCCGCACCGTTTGCTGCTGTGAACCCAGGCGTCCACAACCCAGTTGTCACCGAGGGTCTCTGTCTGCTTTGCTTTCAGGCCCAGACCCACGGGAAGTGGCCGGTGAAGTGGTACGCTCCAGAGTGCATCAACTACTACAAGTTCTCCAGCAAGAGCGACGTCTGGAGCTTTGGGGTGTTGATGTGGGAGGCGTTCTCCTACGGGCAGAAGCCCTATCGGGTGAGCCCCTGCTATTTCGGTTCTAGCTACGTAGCCAGCCCAACAGACAAGCCCCGGATGATTGTCACAGGACGTCAAAAATCATAAACTCCTAAAATCTGGGCTCCCTGTCTGAGTCTTTCACTGTCTTTTGACAGTGAGCAGTGGATATGACCTCCATTTATTCTAAACTGAAAAAAATATGTGATATTAACTGCACAGTTTACTTAGTTTCATTGTGCATTACACTTATAAATATGCATAAAAGAGACCCACGTTGACATTATAATTAGAGTGGAAATATATGTGTGTGTATATATATATATTTATTAACTGGCAGTTCAGTTAAATATTTTAGATTTTTTTAAATCAAAATATGCATACCAAAAAGGGCCCCTGTGCTAGAATACAGCTTGATGAATTTTCACAAACGGGTGTGCCCGTGAAACCAGCCCCCAGATGATGAACAGAAGGCCCACTGTGCCCCCTGCACGCACAAGTCGTTCCCCAAGGGCAACCCCGTCTGACTTCTAGATCATGGGTTAGGGGCTCCTGTTTGTGTACTTTTTATAAGTGAAATTGTGCAGCGTGTACTTTTGCCTCTTTGGGGTGGGAGTAAGACTTATCTGTTGTGTTTTGTTTTGTTTTGCTGAACGCTGCCTTAAACAAGCTTGGGTATGTTTTGCATTTTAGGGCATGAAAGGCAGTGAAGTTTCGGCTATGCTGGAGAAAGGAGAGAGGATGGGGTGCCCCACCGGGTGTCCAAGGGAGATGTACGAGCTGATGAAGCTGTGCTGGACGTATGAGTGAGTACCCGGGATGCCCTGCAGTTTATGCAAAGGCCCGGGGGCAGGTGGGAAGGCCCTGGAAAGTAGCAGCGCCTCTGTGTTTCCGTGAACCAGGGCCGTGCTCCCTTCTAAACAAAGAGCGGTGGGGTGGCTTGCTTCCCAGACCAGGCGCTCATATTCTTCGGTCTAAAGAATAAGTTTAGACAATGAACTCTAATCCAGGGTCTCCAAATTTAAGTGTAGATGGTACCAGCTGGGGGTGAGGGTGGTCAGCGTAGAAAGGTGTTGGTAGGAGTCCGGGCTGGTGCCGTGTCCCACTTCTGGCAGCAGGGGCTGGCGGAGGTACTCAGCAGGGGAATGAGTATCATACTTGCCTGATTTCCTGACCGCCCTTCCAGGCAAGACCGTGGGTGTCATCCAGGTCGCTGGGGGATCGGCCAGGGGAGCACTTCCCCGGAAGTGACTCAGACCTCGGACAGTGGCCCTCAGCATCTGCCGCGTGCCGTCATATGTCCTGCCTGGGGGAGCGCATGTGATGTTGTAGGCTGGTGGTGTTCAGGGCAGCTCGGCGGGCCAGAGACATGCACCACAGCTGACAGTCAGGGACGTGGCCTTTGACCTTGCCCGGATCGGTGGCCCCGTGCGTGGGCCGTGGGGAGCCCCCGAGCCTGGTCTCCGTGTCTCTGACCCCGGCACGTGCCTGTGCGCCCTCGGAGCTCCGAGGTGCTGTGGGTGTGTGATCTAGAGGAGCCGTGTTCTTGCCCTTCCGTGGCTTCAATACTTAGGGTCAGGCTGCTGTCAGAGACTCGGGCTGATGGAGCAGGAGCATCTGGAAGGTGAGGAATATTCCAAGTGCTTTCAGATGCCGCCGGGGATTCTGTAACTCCCTGAGGACGATCGTCCACCACAGCTGGGAGTGGAAGTAAAGAATGCCATCATTATCTAGAAGGGACCCAGGGTCAGGCCCCAGGGGAGAAAGCAGAGGTTTCCCCGGCTGACGCTGTGGACACGGTCCAGGGAAAAGGCCTTTGGCGGGGGTCCGGTGGCGCCGCTGGGGACAGCGCAGGCTTGTTCTAGCACCCAGCAGGCACCGTGCACCCTGCATGGCTTTGGAGACCCTGCAGGCTGTGAGGATTCTTTGGGGGCTGACCTCCAGGTTGGAAATGAGCTCACAATGCCTTCCCTCTGTGCACTTGGGTCCCAGCCTCTGGCCTAAGCAACCTCTCCTTCCCAAGGACCCTGGGGCGGGTGACCTCCAGCAGCAGGGCAAGGCCAGGGGTCAGGCGCAGCCCTGGGGGAGGGCACTTACTAGAAGTAAGTAAACTTGTAGAAGAAGGATCCTTCTCCTGTGGAAGGTTTCGCTTCCCCCGGGAATACTCTTGAAATCATTCTGAAACACATTTTAAAACCTGAAATTAAAATCAACTCTCAGGGAGGTCGTTAAAATTAGTGTTTTGGCATTTAATGCTAAGACTGACAGGTTTATTTCTATCTGCTGTCCTTTGTGTTTGCCAATGAGGAGGGTAGGGGGGGCGGGAGGGGCCTCAGGGCGGGGCGGGTGTGAGGGGTGGGCCCCGCGGGGTGGGGCGGCCAGGGCGCCACCTTCTGCCACAGCCCCCGCCCGGCTCAGGGGCCGTGAGCCCGCCCAAGCCGCTCAGCACCGGGCGCGCTCTTCCCGTGACTCAGTGCATCCGGAGCGGGCGCTCTGCCCACCTGTCCGCGCGGGACCCGGATGGCTCCTTGCACCGTTCTTGGCCACATGGTCCCCACAGGGAGGACACACAGGGGACACAGGTCTCCTGGGTACTCACCAGACCTGGGGTGTGTGTGCTCACCGGGAGGTTGCGGTTACATCACAGTGAGGCCTACAGGCAGGGACGTCTTTGCCCCGGCTTCCAACCCAAGCATGCACTCTGGCGAGTTCCATGTCGCCAACGGAGAACCAGCCACAGGGTTTAAGTATCAGCCAGGTAAAAGCAGTGATGGCAGTCCATGCCCGAGATGAGAAATGAGTCCTTATCAGTCTTGGGTTCATTTTCCAGCAAAGCTGTATTTCTGAACGTTCAGGTTCTTCTGGTAGTGACCTGACAAAGGGCAGAGGGGGGGTTTGGAGACTCGGTCTCAATGTAAGTAGTGAGATGATGTGCCCTTGAATGGCAAAGCACCCTTTTCTTGGGCACGGCCACCAAGGAGCCCTCAGACACCAGGAGATGGTCTGGCAGCCAGGTCCCTGCCCAGGGCCCTCAGGGCGACGCCTGGCCAGGACCGCCGGCAGCCGCTGCGTTCACCCAGCCTCCCCTGCGGTCCCACGGTGTGTCCCGGAGCAACATTCTGGGGACTTTCCAGGGTGGGGGCCGGAACCCTGGGCAGGCGGACATCGCCCCTGGCCCCCTGGCTTTGCAGAGGGGAACAAGGCATTCCGAGCAGCACCTGCAGAGGTCACACTGAGGGCAGGGGGGCAAGTCAGGGCCAGGAAGGGAAGATGGGCCCCGAGGAAAATGGGGAGCAGCAGGGCTGGGGTCTTCGGTTGTGTTTTACAGAGTCGGTGTATGGCCTGTAATTAGGGATGCCAGTGGGAAAAACCCTTGCTAATCGGGAGAAGTTGGGTCTCTTCACCCTGAAAAATGGGCTCCTGCTTAATGGAGAAAAGCCCAGGACGTTGGGGATCTCTGAGGTCGGGAATGATCTAGGGGGAGCTCAAAGTGCTGCTTAAAGATCAGTAAACCCGAGCAATGGGGTGACTCTACCTGGACCATCTGGAGGCCCGCCCCTGGCTCCCTGCTCCGCTCAGTGCCAAGTCCGTTCCCTCTGAGCGCCCCGTCCCCGGGCACCCCATCCGCTGAGCGCCCCAGAGCTCACGTAGCCCGCACTCACCACTGGAGGTGCTGTGTGCAAGCCACCATCCCATCACCCGGGGTGGGGGTCAGCCAGCCTCGGGGAAGGCCCAGACCCTGCCCTGCGAGAGCCTACAGGCGAGGGGAGGGGTGAACAGGCGATAGACGAGCTAAGGAATCTGTGTGCTCTCAAAAGGTAGTGAGTCCGATGGCATTTCAGGGCCCAGGCCATGGCCCAGGAGGGTGTTGTACGTGTGAGTGGGGTCTCAGAGTACCTCCCGTGTGCAGGTGCTTTCTCATGCAAGGAGATATAGCACCGGCCTGGGGCCCAGAAGCACATGGAGCTTCCAGAACCTGGTGGATTCCATGAAGTGAATACAGAGGAGCCCTGTGTATTCTCCAAGCTTTTTGAGGCATTTTTTTGTTGTTCTTGTTTTATCCATTCTAAACAGTCAACTAGGTGGATGAATCAATTAATACGTGATAGATGGCTATAGACAGATGATGGATAGGTAAGTAGGTAGGTAGGTAGACACATACATACACACCTCAAGACCTATCACTGACACACTCTATTGACCCCCTCCACGTATGTACCGGTGGACACTTACCTGGAGGAGGTCACCATCCTGGGCTGGTTGTGCTAGAGAACTGGGTGTTGGGAGGCAAACGTGCCACAGATTAGCCCCCCATAAGCCCGTGATCACGCACGGCTATCTTTGGTTAGAGGTTCACATTGGCCTCCATCGGGGAGTGGCGTCCCACCTGAGGACCGCAGGATGAGGGGCGAGGGGCAGGGGTGCGGGCAGTGAGGAAAGGGGGGCTGCTGGCCCGAGGGCCCGAGCGGAGAAAGCCCCCCGAGGCCCCAGGAGGCCGATGCGGGCAGGTGGGGACAGACAGGAAGCTCACACGTGTAGGACGCTTGGCCACACTGGCTGAAGCTCAGCGTCATGGCATCATGCTCAAGTGTCGAGGAGAGATCCCCTGGGAGGCTGGACCAGGTGTCCTTGCCGAGCGCCGGTCTGTATCCCTATGTCGGTTAGTTTGCTTGGTGCCTGGCTGCTGGGTGGATGGAGACTCAGGAGCTCCGTGCATTTGGGTCCCCAGAGCTGGAGGGGAACGTTCGGTTTTGCAAAGATGATGAGGTGTGTTGTCTGACTGTAGAAGGAGGGAGGCTGTCCATCTGGGTAGACACAGCCTCCACCTACACTCCTGCACCCGGGCTTGGCCCCCAGCCCTCCTGGAGGACAGCTTGGTGGCCAGAGGCGTGGTCCCCACAGCAATGCCTGAGGTGGCCTGTGTCCCCAGCCATGACCGCAGACGGCTGTAAATTCCAGCAGTCCATTATGGTTTTTCCTTACTCTTGAAAGCTATAGGTGAAACCATTTATTTTGATGGCATGTGACAAAACCCATTTGGGTTCCGTGGAAGCCGCACTCCTTGCGGTGGTGAGTGATTCTGGGCCCCTGTGAGCCTGCTGCCTGGCTGCCCCACCAGACCCGCATGGAACCTCTTGAAATTCCAGTCTGAATGTGGACGCTTCCCCCAGTGCGACCTCAAGTTCTGTTTCACTTACTGGGCAACTTCACCCTCGGGCAGCATAGCCCCAAATCCCACAATGTAAGCAAAATTATTTCCATGCGGGGGCACGTTCTCACAGTTTTAAGAAATACTTCCTTCCAGCTGATGCTGTCCTGTGGGAGGAAGCAGACAAGTCTATGACAAGTTTTGAGTTTAATGCGAACCCGTATCAACAGCATTTTTTCAGAATATCCAGAGCTATCCGACCGGGGTGGGGAAGAAGGTACTTTAAATTGTGTCCATCTCTTTTTCACAGGATTCCGAGTCCAACTTGAAGTGGGTCTGGGGCCCATCGACCCACTAATACTTTTAGGCACATTCTGTTTTTGCTGGATCACAAGGGCAGAGTGTCCGACCTGGGGCTCAAAGATCCCGACTCCGAGGGCGAAACGTCTCCACGTTAAAGGTGGACACGAGTCCGTGGGGAGCCTGCCGCAGGCCGGTGGGGCGCTGCGGGGGCTCCTGGGCGCCGGGTGCAGGGGCTTCCGGGGGGCGGGGCCACAGGCACCTGTCGCAGGGGCTGGATCACAGCACGTGCGCGGACAGACAGACCCACAATAACGCGGGTCTTCCCGTTCCAGGGTGGAGAAGAGACCCGGCTTCGAAAACGTGGAGCTGCGGCTGCGCAACTACTACTACGACGTGGTGAACTAAGGGCCCCACGCCCTGCGCCGCTGCCGGGGGCAGGGGAGCGGTCACAGCAGAGCCCGCCCAACGCAGGGATTTCGAGAGCGTCCACCTCTCTCTCTGCCGTCGGGAGAGGCCAGCCTCGTGCGGGACACGACCGTCGTCCCCAAAGCCTGCCCCGGAGCACGCCCTCCGCAGAGCACACCCTCCCCGAGGAGCCCGGGAAGAAAGACGGCAGGACCGGAGGGGGCCCGTGGATTCCTTTGTGTTTCTCGCCTGTGCGGTTTGCAGGACAGGTTCCAACGAGGATCCATGTGGGCATCCGAATCTCCAGCAGCCGGGAGGTGTCCCGGGCTCACCTGCACCGCCTGCCCTGCAGCAGGGAAGGCGAGCGGAGGGGGTTTGGCTGCCTCCAGAACCTGGCGCCGACAGGTCCAGAGACTTAGCCCTGCCGCCGAAAAGCTTTCCTAGCGATGAAAAGGCTTATAGGCTTTAAAAAAGAAAAAAAAAAAAAATCAAGCTGGACCAGTACAGTTTCTAAGCGTGTAGCCAGTTAAAGGGGGGAAAAAAGTCTGGATACTGCATTTGCTCTGTGCGTTCTGAGACACAAGACTCAGATCCATGGGACAGATGGGGCTGTGGGCATGAACTGGCTTGGCGTGCCTTCCCCCTGAGAGCCTCTCTCCCGCACACCCTCCCGGGACTGTGCTTGCTTGGAGGTGGTGGAGGGGAGAGGGCGTCTGTCCTCTCGGGCCTGAGCGAGGACAGACGGCAGGTGCATCGGGCTGTCCTCTCCTTAGGGAGGTCCGAGCTCCCCTCCCCTAGAGAGAGGGTACCTCCAGAATCTCCCGACTTTTTCTGTGTTCACGGTGGGGAGGGGGTGGGGACAACCCGGGGGCCAAGGCCATCTACAGTGAGTTTCCTAAGATTGTATTAATTCATAATAAAGCCACAGACTCTGAGCCTTGCTGCAAGCATGCCCGAGTGTGACTTTGGGTTGAAGATACGAGACCGGGAATTCTTGGCTAGCTCTCTGGTCTTAGCGAAGCCTTGAGTCATGTGTGAGCTTATACAAGTCATCAGCCCATGTATGCCAGTTTGAAAGTCAGAGGGAGTTAGCTGTCATTCTTAGGACAGCTGAGACCCTGGGCCAGCGTCGGTCGTACCTGAGACATTTTAAAGTATACGTCCGGCCTGTTGTCGGGAGAGTTTCCCTTCTCATAGCAGGGCATCCAGGCACAGGGAAAAGCAGCAATCAGCACCTTTGCTCAGCCAGAAAGAAACATGAGTTTCACTCATCGAACTGGTGGGAAGAAGCGTGTAGAACCCACCTGGGCTTTTTTGGAATCGTGCTAGCTGGCGGATTAATCATTTTGTTAAAGAGAGGGTCCCAGCGTGCTGAGCAGATACTCAAAACATGGGCAACATACATCAGAGTCCCTGGAATTAAAAAGCCGAGTGACAGGAACTCTGCGGGGGGCTGTCCATGGATTTGGAGTCATGCCTGCAAGGTTGGACGGAGCACTGGTGACCTCTGAGCAAGTGGTCGCGTCTCTGGCAGAGGCCGTGCATGGAAGGCTCCGTGATGTGAACGTGCGCAGTCTGGGAGGTGAGGATCCTCACTGGGCACTGGCCGCGGCTGGAGCTCGCGGGCCCGCCACCCTCCTGACGGTTCTCTCTCCCCGGGCCTGAGCCCCCCCTCCCCATGCCTTCCCCTTCTGGTCCTTGTTCAGGAGCAGCAAGACAGCGTCATGGACAGACACACCGCTCAGGCCGGAACCAGTCACTGCTGGTGCCACGCACACTGTGTCCCCACCGGGGGACTGGAGCTTTCCATAACACAACCCTAATCCATTCCGTGGTGACAGGGACTGCTTGGGGTTTTCCATGTGAGCGTGTCCCCACGCGGGCTGTCACCGGCTTCACAGTTCCCCCAGCCCGGGGGCCGCCGCCCCGCCTGGATGTCCACACGTGGAGGTGACTGCTGGGTCCTCCGGGCACCCCCCTCCCACAGAGCACATGCCACCATTTCAGAAGAACGACTTTTTGCCACTGGACTTGTTTTTTTTTTTCTGTGATTTTTTAATAAAACTTTCGAATTAGCTTCGTGATGATTTTCATGGATATTATTGGAATGCTGTAGGTTGCACCGTCAAATAAACAGTGTTAAACAGCATCATTAAATGTGAAATTTTTTTTTTTTTTTTTTTTTGTAAATGCTAAGTGCCCAGTTGAGTCCTAAAAAGCCGGATGCACGCAGATCCCTGGGAGCGGGTCCGGGAGCTTCTGTTGTGCAAAGGCCTGCCGAGGGGGGCCCTGGTGGGCCGTGACCCCTGTTCCTGAGGTCTGCCCAAGGAGGGCCTGACAGCTCGCCCCGTACCCACAGGAAAGAGGGGTGATGATCCCTGAAATCCGCACAGGCGCCAAAGCCCGGCTGGGGGTTGTGGGCTTCCCCTTTCCACATGAAGACAGCTTATGGGGCATCGGGGAGCAGAGGAATTCCAGAGTGTCCCCATCTCCACCTGCTTTAAAGGGGGTCACGCACGCACACTCACTCCCATACACGTGTGCACACACCACATACCTACGCACACCGTGTGCACACGTGCCTACATATCACTCACAGGTACGCACGCACACCACACAAACATCCACACCACACACCGCACCCCACTCCCAGTGACCCTCTTAGTGCCAGTGTGGGGCAGCCCTGCCGCGGGGATGCGCTGCTGGCTGCTTTTGTCTCTGCCTCCTCCTCAGGCCCGGGGAGGAGCGTCAGTGCCTCTCCTGGCCACCAGCCTCCCTCGGGGTCCCACTGAAGAGCCTCCTGCTGCCGGCAGGCAGAGGTTTGAAGGCCTGTGCGGGCCGGCCTCACAGTCCCTTGGTGGCCCCGAGACCGGGACAGCCAAGGACGACACGGAGCGGGCCTGTGGCTCCAGACGTGGCAGGGGCGCGTCAAGTGGCAGTGGTAACAGTGCGGTCAGCTGGTCCCCAGTGCGAACCGTGGTGGGTCCCCTACACCGGGGAGGCTCAGCCACCGACCTGTGCGGACACCTGTGAGTGCAGATGCACTGGCCAGGGGCCCGGCTCTGAAAATACCAGGGGGAGCCCACCTCGTGGGGACCCGTGGGCCAGCTGGGTGGTGATCCAGGAAGCCAGCGACCTTGACTCTGAGCCTTCGACCCCGGGGGAGGGCGCAGGAACCACAGCGCCATGGAGGCAGGGACATGAGACAGACTGTCGCTAAGTGAGCTCGGGCAGAGGGGTTTGAGACCCGTGCTTGCGGTTCCAGGCTGTGGACAGACTTCAGAACTGGTCGATAAATGCGTTCTCGGTTCAGGGAAGGAAGAAGCCTTTGCCGAGAGCTGGAATGAGGGTTTGCTTTTCCGCACGCTCTATTAGGGTAGAGATAGACGGTGCTGGACACTCCTCGTGGTCTGGGGAATGGTGGCCAGGGACAGCGGGTCCTCCTGAGTCCCTGCATGTTCTCGGGGGATGGGAGCCAGGCAGAGGCGGAGCCCCAGCCCTGCTTCTGCACCTGTGAGTCTGAGCAGCGCAGCCAGACAGAACGGCTTGGGCAGCTCAGCTCGGCCTTGCCCGGGAAGGACCCCGGTGCCCGGCAGCCCACTCGCAGTTTGAGAAGCTGGGCAACAAAGACCTGTCCATGCGTTCTTGCCAGCTCAGCATTTCCCCGACTTCTCGGACCGCAGACCCGCTGTTGTGCTCAGTGCCCCGTTAGCAAGACGGGGCTGGTGTTCCGCACACAGGCCGGGAAACCGCACACGAGGGAGGCGGCTCTCCTGGGGACCCGGGGCGCGTGTGGGGAGCTAATTCCTTCCCTGACATCAGCCGGGGAGGCCGTTCGCTGTGCTGTTAGCTGAAGAACCAGCCCTGTCGTGATCTCAGATGTCGGTTGCTTTCACACACCATGTTCTCTCTCTCTCTCTTTCTCTCTCTCTCTCTCTCACACACACACACAGGATACATATAAGCAATCACTCCTTCAAAGAAAAAAAAGAAGAAATGGTAGCATCTCGCTACACCTGGGCCGCCCAGGGCACATAACTTGGTGTTTCGCCACCTAGACCTGTTTCAAAGGCCACTTAGGATTTTGGAGTTTTGCAGAATTAGCCTAGAGGGAAAAAAGCACAGTTTTCCGGAGCAGCGGCCGCCCAATCGGGCGACATCCGCCTGGTTTCCCTAGGTCAGTCCAGGGTGTGCAGACCTGGTCTTGCCCCCACCCCCTGGCGCCCAGAGTTAATCCTCCCCCCGGTGTCCGCCACAGGCCTGGGCCTGGGGCTTGTCTTCCTATTTCACTTCCCAATGAAAGGTCTGCTTTTCCCAGGCCTCTCAGAGACTGCCCACCCGCTCTGGCTCCCGGGGAGGGTGGGTGGGTGCCGGAGACCCAAGAACCGGGGCCATTCTCTGCACGCCTGCAGGCACTTTCTCTGTGGAATTGGACCAGTGCTCCTGCCCTCAAGAAAGCAGCGTAACCGGCAGAGCAGGCTTTACAACAAATACTTCATCCCTCACGTGGTCCCCTGAGGCCTCGACAGTGGCCCTGTGGGTCCCAGAGGCCACTCCCTGCACTGCTGGCTGACGGGGAGGGACGCCTCCCCCCCGCCCCCCGCCGCCTGGGCCCGTGTCCTTGGCCACTGGTGGTTCTTGGAGGCTTCTGGGAGAGAAAGCCGCGGATGAGGCGGCACTTGAGAGTGGCATTAGGATCTGTGGGTGTCCCTGTCTTCCTTTTCCCCACCCTCAGCTTTTAGGAGGCACCCAGCCGAGCACTCAGGGGTCAGAAATACGGATGCCTACACGATGCCCTTCAGCAGCATCGGCCCCGCCTCTGACCGCGGGCAGGCCGGCGTGCAAAGGGCTTCATGCTGCACCAGTGGGCAAGCCGTGAACACGCGCAAACAGTGAGTGGCTTTGGACACCAGACCCGTGGGACGTGGCACTGAGGGCTCTGTCACAGAACTCTTCGTTTGCACTTTTCACAGCTAGCAAGGTGTTTTCAGGCGTAAAACACTATTTTAAAACTAAAAACAAGCAACTTTTGAGACAGCTGTCATTATTAATTCTTCATTTGACAAGTGAAAGGCCATGATTCAGAAAAGAGCACCAAAAAAGAGCCTGAGCCCCATTTCTTATCTCACAGCCCTGGCTCTTAGGCCAGACTGCCCCCTAGAATCTTGAATGGAGCCTTCCAAATGCAGGTCCCCAGGCTCTATTCCCAGAGCATGGCCTCACTGGTCTGGGGGGAGGCGGGGCTGGGCCCGGGCATTCACAGTCTGCACAGGTGCGCCAGGAGGTAGGTTACAACTCGACAC